TGCAGCCCCAAAGTTAAAATCATATAGTTTTATTTTCTACACAGTATACAACAGGAGTGTATTCATCAAAAATACAGACCTCACAGAAGAAACTCAATGCAACAAAAGTAAAAACATGTGTGATCGCTGACACACAAGTTAGAAAACCTGTGATCACTGAAACTAAAGTACAGTAAAGTAGTTTTGGACATATGAGCTGTGTCAGTTTGCATGTCTCTATCATGGTGGAGCCATGATGAAGGCCTGGAAAAGGATTGTCAGAAAAATATGAGTTAACCAGGACAGAAAAAGATACAGGAATCAGTGACCAACTAAAAATGAGTGGAAATACAGTTGCAGCAATAATCAGGAGATATAGAGTGAGCCATAGTAGCACTAATCAGAGCTGCAGTGGTCCATCCATCCATCCATCCATCCCATGCATCCATCCATCCATCCATGCATCCATCCATCCATGCATCCATCCATCCATCCGTGCATCCATCCATCCATCCATCCATCCATGCATCCATCCATCCATCCATCCATCCATCTTCTCCCGCTTATCTGGAGTCGGGTCACGGAGGCAGCAGCCTGAGCAGAGCTGCCCAGACTTCCCGATCCACACACACCTCTTCCAGCTCTTCCGGGGGGACCCCTAGGCGTTCCCAGGCCAGTCGAGAGACATAATCTCTCCAACGTGTCCTGGGTCTTCCCCGGGCCCTCCTCCCGGTGCAGTGGTCGCCCTCTTAAAATGACACCACACAATGAGTTACTTTGACAATCTAGCTGTGACAAACAGACAGCAGCGGCTTTAGACTTGGCACAGGGGTTCTTAATACAAACCAGTGTCTGTGACAGCTCAAACAGTGTGAAGGACAGTTCATAGCATCAACCTCTATGGATGGCATCCAGGACAAAAGCGACTCTTGATTGCTTGTTTGTCACAAAACTGCAAGATGCAACTTTGTTAACAAACATGAAATAAAGTTTGATGAATATGGGAACAAAGATAAGATAAATTTGTTCAGCTCAGGTAGAGTCCAGCATATTCAGTGTAAACCTGACCAGGACTACCACAGTGAGTGCAGAGTCCTGACAGTGAAGCACGGAGGTGTGAAGTGTGACGATGTGGGTCTGCATGAGTGTAAGAAGTGTTGGGGATCAGTCATGACAAATAGGACTACAACTTGGTCAGAATGTTCACTTAGAGGTCCTGAGTCATGAAGGAATGGTGTAAAGTTGGACAGACACCATATTATCTTCTCTGATGCAAGCTGCTAATGTTAGCAAGTAAGTAGCAAGCTACAAACTGGCTTGCACACACACACACACACACACACACACACACACACACACACACACACACACAAAGAGACATTTAATGATCAAAAAGAGGTAAAACACGACTATAAAGTGTCATCACACAATGACAAACTGATAAAAAAGAAATATATAAAAACACACCAAATGACCATAGCATGAAGACACAAAAGAACAACTATAAATGACACAAATGCACAATGAGCATAAAACGACACACATGTGCAAAGAGATACAACATGATCAAAACAAGACAAAACCAAGTGACACAATGGAATCATAAAAAGAGTACAAAGAGACAAAATAAGTGCAAAGAGACAAAATAACCACAAACGTTATACAACTGCAAGTGACTAAAAAGAGACAAAACATGATGAACTGACACAATGCATCCCCAAAGAGAAAACCACGAGACAACATGACTGCAAAATGACCACAGAGAGAGAGACACAACACAAAGACACACAAAAAACAACCATAGAGTCATACAAATGACCACAAATGCACATACAATGAACACAAAATGACATAACACATGCACAAACAGACATAATGAGACCAAAAACAGACATAGCACAACTAAGTGACACAACACAACGGCAAAACGAGTACAAAGAGACACAACAAAATTATACGGATGCACGAAGTGACTAAAAAGACGTGAAAAGAAACAACCAGCTGAAACAATGCAACCTCAAAATGGGCACAAAGTAAGAAAATGATGACACATACATGCAAAAACAGCAAAAGGAGAGACAACACGATGACAAAATGATCCCAATGTGACACGAGATGACCAAAGAGACACATTGGTTCACTGTCACTTTCCTGTCTTCTACTCAGACGATCTTGAAAATCTAAAATGTTAAAATGATGATTACCACAAAATCCAACTGCAGTGAGCAGTGAATGTTTACTCAGTGACTGTGGCTGATTTTTAATGTTGTATTTGGACACAATTTTAAACAACAAGTGCTAAAAATAGTCTTAAAAGCACTTCTGAGGGTCACATCCTCAACATGAGACCAAGAGTGAGGCTGAATCTATTCTAATGCAGCAGTGTAAACATTCAGATGAATTACATAATACATTTTTTACATTGCTGTGAGCCTGATGCATTCGGAGGGGCTCTGGGGGCTATTTAAGAAAATGTCAACAAATGTTACCCCCACAGGGCAACAGATGAAAGCTTCACTTATTTATTTAAACATCACACACAGATGTGAATACAGACATCCTGCACGGAACTGGAGTGTTTTAAGAAAATATCCCAAAACAATGCAGCATTGTGTGAGTCTGTGTGGGATACCATCTACTCATGTCTAAAATACATGGAGTGTAAGTGACTCCAATCAACCTCCAGCCACAGTGTATAAAGAATAAAAGATAAAAAGTGGAGTTTTGCCAGTTTTGGGGGTTTTTTTTGGAGTAAACGAGCAGTTTTCAGTGAGTCTGTAATCATTCAAAGGCAGAGCTGATTCACTCCACTGCTCTGCTCTGTGACAGTGACGGATTCAAAAACAACAAAAGCAGAAATAGGCCTCGAGGTTTGTTGAG